TCACTAATGAGTTGCCATGTTGTGGGATGTACACTAAAATAATAGGGAAAATATTGAGAATTTCCAAAAAATAATAGGAAAATTTTAAAGCACAATAGCTCAATCTTAAATGCTATAAGTGAACAAGCCTTACACCATCACATGAATACAATAACAATCCAATGAGCAGCATCTCTCAACATTTTACACTGCACACACACACAGAGGGCATGTAGGTTAGAGTAAATAAAGTTTTTGATGTAAATAAAATGCTGATAGATTACATGCTATAAATGTGATCCTAAACTAGGGGGAAACACCAGAAACTTACATAATTATAATTAAGTGCATGAATCACACTATAAGGTTCATGCAATTCAGACAAAGGGGACAAACTGCACAACAACCTACTATGTACTATAGTACAGGGACTTTGGCCTGATTTATGAGTAACGTTTAAAAATTCATAAAAAAACCCAATTTTGGTCGGAATCAGCTTTGATTTGCTACACAAAATAAGAACATGTAATTGTATCAAAAAAATTTATAAAATTGGGATTTTTGAAATCTTATAATTCAAAATTTATGATCAGTAATGTTCATGATCAGTGTTCACTATCTACAAAGTTTTCCATGTCATTTTGTGGACAAAATTATACCATTTAAATATAAATAACTGCTCATTTTTACCCTTCACTCTTTCTTTCCCCTTGTTTCTCTATCTCTCTTACAGCTAGATACCAAAAGGGACTGATCTTAGGAAACAGCTTAGATTAGGATTTCTACCAGTATTTTATAGCATATCAGCTGATGGCTAAAAGAAAAGACAAAATAGAAAAAATATAATTATTTTGAAAAAAGCATTCAACAAAAGCTAATCATGTAGATCTAGGTCAAATAACCAATACTAAAGATAAATGTAACAGAAAATACAGCTAGAGGTCAAAATTAACACACAGTCTAAGTTATAACGAATTCATTTATAGTTAATCAAATATGCTGGATAATTTTGAGTATCTCGGTAAACTACAAATACTGATGGATTTCCAGCTTTATTAACAGTGGCATCAAAAGTAACATTAGGATCAGCTTGAGGATTCTTTGGAGGAGGAGCTAACATTGAACTATTACCAACAGTAATTCTCCAGTAAGAACTTGAGTGAAGTACATGTGACGAACACCATTAGCATCAGGTGATGTGTATCTGTGAGAGTATGATGCATCACGAGCAAAATATACTCCTTTACCATATGCT